ACAAGCTAAGCAAGTGCTCTACAACTTGAGCCACACCCTCAGCCCTTTTGATTTTGTATGTTGTTTTTGACTCAGGGTCTCTCTGCTAACTTCGCCTGGGTTGACCTTGAACTTGAGATCCTCCTGACTCCACCTCTGTAGTAGGTGGGATTACAGGTGTGTACCACTACAGCCAGCTTCAGCCTCCACTGTCTGGGGTTTTCTTTATCCAGGCTGAGGGTCCTCCCAAAAGCCCCAGAGAGTGGAAATAGTGTCACACGGATTTCCAAAGTCCAATCCAACTTCCGAGGACTGTTGATCCTCTTCTCAGCCAGAATTAGAATGGTGGGGCGCCGACTGGGACCATTGCTGTTGCTCAGAAGAGTTTCATTTACACAATGATTCACAAATGATGGAAAGGGGAGCTTTGGAAAACCCAGAGTCTGGGAATGAAGAGCTAGTGTAGGGTTTCCCAATCTTGGGGCTATGAACACCTGGGGCCTGGATAATTCTTTGTCATAGTAGTCTGTCTTGTGCATCGTAGAACATGGTCTCCACTCCCTAGGTGCCAGTAGTCCCCCAAATCATCACCAGACATTACCAAATGTCCTCTGCGGAGGGGGCTAAAGTGCCAGCAGTTGAGACCCACCAGCCTGATGAAATCAGAAACTTTGTAGTTAGGGAACCTGGGAGACTGGACTTTCCTGCTGACCAGCTTGAACTGGCAACACTGTGAAATCTGCAGACTCGATTTCCCTAAGGTAAAAGGCTGAGGTCCTTTATGGCCAGCTTACAGAGCTCTCAGGACTGTTGGGACAGTGCTTTGAACTGTAAGTGCTCTGATTTTCTCTGGCTCACTAAAATCTGAGCAGAAAGGCAGCTGGTGGCCAATGCCAGGCCACCAGGGCTGCTCTGCTATGTGGAGGGAGGCTCGGTGTGGAATAAGGGCTCTGAGTCCCCAGTGGCTGAGACACGTGCACTCCCTCCACTGTGCCGGGCCATGCAATCTGTCAGGATTTATTCCCATGGCAAAAGGGGTCTCAAACTTCCTTGTGGGGGGACACAGAAGTCAGCCTGAAGAAGGGGAGAGGCAGAGGACAAGCCTTGTTGATATTAGGATGGAGTGGTCTGGGCAGGCACCACAAGGTAGGCCACCATGGTCACTAAGCAGCATCTGGCACTTCCTGGGTACCATGTCACCCCTGCAGTCTCTCCAAGCCTGTGTCTGAGTCCTTCTCTGCTTCTATTTTCTATCCTGATGAAACATTTATGAAGTTTCCAGTGACTCAGGATGAACACGCAGACCTCCATTCCAGAGTGTGTGCAGTCATGTCATGTCCTTCTGAGCATTTCACTGCTTCTGATGGTGACATTTCTCACTCTAGGACAATCGTGCATCTTCCCCACTGTGGTGTGTGTGGTTTCATGTCCACATAACCCCCACTCCCCATGTCAGTATTTGCTCAAACTCTGATCTCAGGAGGCTGCACTGGGAATATTCAGTGGTTCTAATTCTGCTCATTAGGATTTCGGGGACAGGTGTCTTTTCTGCTTGGAGAGTATGGACTCTGTGCCTCTGTCCCTCTCACCCAGTGACGAGAGCCAGGGCCCATGGAGCAGGCTGGGTGGGAGATGTCGGGACAGATGAATAAGGACCATTCAGGCTCCAATTGCTCCCCTTGGCCCCCTGAGCACAGCACCATGCCTTCTGCCATAGCAACACAGTCCACCCCTAGAACTGCTCTGTGTCACTCCATGGACTTCTCTAGGATGAAACGAAGGGGACCTGGTGGCAGCGCTGCTAATCCAGGGGTTCGTGTACTTCCTAGTAATGTACAGAACAGCCGAAGGGCTCTGCTCTCTGGGTGGCCTCAGCTGCTCACCCTGAAAACTGAAGGTGCTGATGGATGCTCTCTAAGCTGTGTCACTGAGATTAAGTACATGCGCATTATTGCCGGCCCCCTTTGGGCACTTACACTCAACACTGGTGATCTGGATGGTCCATTCCAGGGAGCTCATGGTGGAGAGTGTGGGAAACGGGGAGACACAGAGCAGCTTCCTAGCCTTTGCAGCCTAGAAGGCTGAGTCTGAATCAAACTCCTCAGCTGTGCACTCTCAGGCATGTGGCCTGGCCTCAGTGTGCTCAACCAAAAAATAGGACAATAATTAATGTGCACCTCTCTGCATCCTCACACTTGCCCTCAGGGTGACTTGGAACACACATATGAGATACAAACAGAGCACACGACACAAGAGAGATGTGCAAAACCGGCAGCAGAGAACAAAGTGGCAATCTTACCACTGATGGTGGAGGGAGGGCATCTTTTGCAGGAGGGGAGGTGCCATTTGTCTTCAAGAATCAGGTAGCAGTGCCAATTATCCAACTCTAGGGATGGTTCCTGATAACACGATGGTGATCAGGCAGGCTGATCACCTGGGGCTGGAAGTCAACCTGTTGCCTCTCCAGCTGTGTGGTGCTGCTGGCCTGTCCCTGTTCCCGCTCCCTGGGGTCCTGGGAATTCCTGCAGGAAGACAGTCATCTCTCTCTGTGGTGGGAGGAGGAGTCTCTCTTGGTCTGGGTTTCATGGAGCACAGAGAACATTACTCAAACATGGCTCACACTCTGGCTGGGACCATCTCCTTGGGGGCAAACTCCTTCCTTCCTTAGCACTGACCTGTCAAATCGGGGGGCCTCAGGAAGAAGCCAGAATGGAGCCCCAGCTGTGGTTTAAAAGATGGGGGTCCATGTCCTCTGCTTTAGAGGACCCTGAGCCTAGGATGGGGTTACCTGTGCCACAGGTGGGTCCCGGGACTCTAACCTGGCAGTTCTAGCTACAAGGATCCTTTCATGTGAGCAGTGCCTATGGGGCTTCCGGGTCATGGTCTGGGTCCTTCTACATGAATATCAGTCTTTGGAATCCTCACAGGAGATGCACAAAAAAACTTGAGGTCAAAGTTAAATGGGGCTGGGGGAAGGGGTATGTGCCTGAGACCACCACCTCCAGAGTTTGGGCAGATGTGCCCTTTACTGAGCTCAGGCCATTCTACACTGTGGTACCTTGGAAAATGTCCTCTGCAGATGCAGGCTTGGTTCAAGTGTATCTAGCTTCAGGAGGCAGTAAGAGCCTGGCTGTAGAGCCCAGCTTCCCAGGTTCTAATCCTAGCTCCTTACTTTCATGCTATGTGGCCCTGGGAAAGTTACTCTGCTCCAAGCCTCTAGTTATTGTCTGTGCTTTGGGTCAGTGGTGCTGTAAGGTGAGCGTCATGACTAGGATGTACATGAGAGGCTTGTTCAGCTCCTGGACACAATCGCCAAGCCCTGTGGTCAGGTCTGTTTCTCCCTTGTCCCACAGCCAAGACAGAACCCAGCTGAGGCAGCGAAGAGCATGGTGCACGCTCTGGCTGGACCCTACCCAATAGTCCTCCTTGCTATCTGTGATGGCTGGGAAGAGAAACAGACAAGGACTCCACAGGAGGTAGGGATGGAGCCTCTGTGATGTTATAACGAAGTGTGGACACGAGGCCCCCACATGCCAACTACCTGCAAGAAAGCAAGAGAAGCTTCAACACTGGCATAGGTAAACTCTCATGGGGGAAACGCCTGTGGCCAGAAGTACCCAGGGACTGGGGTACTGTGTCCTCTCCAGAGCTAGAAGCCATCCAGCACCCCTCTCCTCCTCCCTCTATCACAGTAGACACAGAGCCCTCTCCCACCTGCCCACTCCACAGGGGACTGCTACCTGCTGCTTTACAGGGCTGCACTGGGGCTAGAGGGATCCCCTGAAGACATCAAGCACCCCTGATCCCAGCCCTGGCTGTGTCCTTCTGTCATGGAGTCATGCATCAGAGAAAGTTCTTGCTCAAGAGGGAGACCTGGGAGTGATGAGAAGGGTCCTGCCAAAGAAGCTTCCAAGGTGAACATCCAGGAACCCTCGTGCACCTCATGTCTGACTGCCTCGCCCAGCCTCCCGCTCCACTGGAGAAGTCACAGCAGATGGTCCCATGTCCCTTCTTCCGTTGCAAAGGCTGAGCTGGCTCTGAATTCATGTTTCCTGGAGCCAAAGCATTTGCAGACGGATGCTGGCTGTGGTAATGGATGTGGATAAGAACTGGTGGCCGTCTGCAGTTCTGTCTGGAGGCTGGACTGTTAATTCTATTATCTCACAGCAACCAGAGATGAGTGGTGGCTTCTGGACCACTGAGATGTCCCTCACCTGTCATTAAGAACACTCACGTGTTGAGACCCAGTGACGGGTTCAGGACTTTTACAGTTATTCCCAAACATGCACAAGGGCTTCTAAACCAGTTGTTTTCCTTTCTACAGTGTGGGGACAAAGCCAGGAGGAAGACACTCGAGCTTGAAATCCTCCTGCTTCTGCATGTACAGGAGCTGCCTGGGGGAGCAGTGGCCGGCGCCACACAGAGGCCTCTCAGGAAAATGCTGCTGGTCACTTCAGCCTTGCTCCCCCAGATTGGGAGCTCCCTGTTTGCCAGGACCCCCAGCCACCACTTCATAAGAATTTAAGGAAACTGGTTCAAAACACAGGCATTGACTCGCACACCCAGCTTCAAGATGCCCTGGGTAGTTCTTTTTCCAAGTGCAGCTTGTCTGCCCCGTATGTGCTGGGTGGGGACCTGCCCAAGAAAGAGCTTAGCTGGGCTAGAGAGGCCACTGAGCCAAGAGTTAGGAAACGCCTTGCTGTTCTGACTCCTTCATTAATCCATCCTGGGACCACAGGCCAGTCACGCCCCCTCTGTCCCATCCCACCAATAATGAGATGGACATGAGACTCCAAAGTTCCACGAGCTCCCAGAAAAGAAACAGCCAGGAACTTCACCTGGACAGTGATTCTAGCTTTTGAAAACATCCTCTCCTGATGGGGCAGTGTAACTAATGTACATTGTAAGTCTAACCAGAATTGTCACTATGAACCCCCCCATGTGATGAATATAACCTAATAAAAATTTATAATGAAAAAAAAATCCTCTCCTTTTCTTAAAAAGATCAGAACATCCACCCAACAGACAAAATCCACCACCAGCACCCCAGGCCCCCCCAAGTGTTACCAGTGATTGCCCCCATCTCTGGGTTTCCTTATGCACTTGGGGATCTTAAGTGTCTAAGTCAGATCAGGAACCTTTCATGGCCCTACAACACCACCATCCATCAAAGGGTTGGACTTGAGACCAGGATTGTGTGGGGGACTCAGAAGTTCTGAGGGCTGCCCTCGTCCCAGCACCACAACCAGGGTCAAAAATCACCCATAAGAACAAGACACACAAGTGACATTTACCACTAACCAGCAATGGCCAACCATGACCACATCTGAAACCTAACTGGCTGCTCCCACTGGGTCCTGGGATGGTGGTTTTAAGGACTTTCCACTCTTCTCTTTGCACACCTTGCCCCACCATGCCTATGGGATTCCAACTTTCAGTTTTCTGAATCAGCTTAATCACAGCACAGAGTGTCTGAAATCAGGGCTATCTGGGGAAATTCCAGATGCATGGATACTGCCCCTGGAGAGGCCATTCAAGGGCTCAGAACTCCTGATTTAGAACATGGGCACAGCCAGAATCCTGCAGCAAGACAGGGCCACAAGGACAGCCTCCACTGGTAGTGAGCTCAGTACAGGAGGGGCCGTCCTGCAGCGGCTGGTGGGCCATTCCCTCAGAAGGTGAAGGCATACACCACCCCCACCACCACAATGTTCCCCAGTGTTGCTATGATGGCAATCCACAGCAGGACGGCATCATTGGAGGACCGAGGCTGCTCCTCTGGCTGGCCCTGGCCATTGGAGGCCGCGTGGACGTTGGCGGAGGAGTTAAACAGGGAGTACTCAGTGCTGAAGTCCTCGTTGGGCGAGTCCATGAACGCTCCTCCCATCATGGGCAGCTGCAGGAAGAAGACAGAGTGTCAACTAGGGTTGGAGGACATGCCACTCCCAGCCAGGGAGACAGCCCAGGCCGAGCAGCACCTACAAAACTATGATCCACCAGGGGCTATCATGCAGGGCTTTGCTTCTGTGTAACCGACAGTGCATATTTTAGTCCATAAAGTGAGTGTAAAGCGACACTCTCACGCCCACTTTACACACGAAGGCTTTAAGGAACTCATCAGATAGCTAGTTATGAACACGTGGGAACCTACAGGCCCCACTCCCATGCCAGGCCCTTCCACTGACAGCATGGTTGTAAAAAATGCCCTCATTCCTCTTCTAATTTAAAAAAAAATACGTGCTCAGCATAGAACACTAAGATATTATGAAACAATAAAGTGACAAATGAGAATCATAATCTCACACAGAGTCATTGCTAACATGTGGACACCTTGTCTTTCCAATTTTTTTCTGTCCATGTGTCAGAGAGCAACACATTTAAATACTGTGGGCTTTACATCCCTGTAATAAAAAAACCCATCAATATCCCATTTTGACAGCTGTGTAATATTCTATCACAAATACAAGCCATGATTTAACTCTTCCCCAAGTTTGGCGAGTTATGAATTTCTACTCTTGCCTACTATAAATAATACACTATGCATCCTCGTGCATCCGTGTGTACGTATGTACATCCTTGCACACACATTTTTATGCACGAGGGTAGGCTTCTACATGCACAATTTTGGAGTAAATGAGTTATGAGTATTTTAGTTTCTGGTGCCTGGGGACAAAGTCCCCCAGGACAGCGATTCTGATTCCCACCATCGAGTCCAGGCTGTTCCAGACAGAGGCAGATGAAGGAGAATTAATCTCCATGGGTGACTGGTGCTTTTTGGGCCCCTTGGTCAATGGTTCTCTTGAACGGGACCCAAATGCACGAACAGGAAGCAGTTCCCTGGATCACCTCTACTGACCACCACTACCCTGGGAATATAGGCCCTGGTCTTGTCAGAGAACATGCCAGAGACATTGAGATACTTTCTTTTAATCACTCAACAATCCTTTTGGGGGTACAGCCCACCCCCGTTTTACAGATGGGTAGGCAGAGGTCAAGGCCACAGCACTTGATCTACACTGGAGTCAGGGCTGGGAGCCAGGTGTGTCTGCCTGGTGCCTGGTGTCTGCAGCCTCCCTGACTATGAACCGGTCTGTACTATGAGGTTGCTCTGTGCTTGACCTGCACTTTGTAAAGGATGAGCAAGCAGGTCCCCAACCATCTGCTTCTGAAGAGAAGAGCAGCTTCTGATGGGCACCTGAGAAGTTTGGCATTTTCGTTTGTAACACAGCTCTGCCCTTAGGTGGAAACAGAGCAGTTGTTAATGCTGGGGGGTAGTGACTAAAACCAGCCACTAGGGAGCTAAGGCCAGGTTGTTTCCTGATGAGGGAGCTGCTGGTTCCACGGCCCAAAGATTCAAATTCCAAATTTGAAGGGCAGTTTCTTTCTACTGAGTGTGCATCACTTTCACACCACGGTAAAACTGAAAAATCGTTATTCAAACTTACAAGCTGGGGACCACCTACATGTATGTTACAAGTACAATTGAGAGTTGAAATAAAAGAACTGGGTCCTTGTTTTGCCCCCAAGCTGGTGACGCAGGCCAGGTGGGGTACTGATGAATCAGACGTGTGTCACTCTAACAGGAAGGCTGCAGACAGGGAAGCTAGACCTGCAGGCCAGTGTGGCTGGGCAGGGGTTTCTGGGCCGCAATCCCCCAGGGAGGGGCCCTGGGCTTTCCTGCCAAGACCCTCACATCCTTCAGAACTCAGCCTGACTGTCCTGTCCACCTCAGTCCTCTCTGGGTGGCCTCCTCTTTGGGGGCTGTCCTCAAACACAGCTCCCTCAGTAGTCTGGTGACACCACGAGGAAAAGGGCAGCAGATTTGTCATTCTTACCGTGGAAGTCCTTAAACTTTGCACAGGTGTGGAACACAGTGGTGCCTTACAGATAGCTGTTGACTGACAATGTCAGCTACTTTCTCCTTGGACACACTGTCACTCCTCAGTTGGCTGATTCTGCCACTAAGAGGCCACCTCCTTCCTGCAGGCCATACCCTTGGAACCTCTACCTGATCCACCCCAAGGAGAGCTGAGGCCTCAGCACCAGCTGCACTTCTGTCCTCTCGAACACTCCTAGACATGTCCATACTCATGGCCACCCCTCACGAGATGCATCCCACTCCTGTCCCCTGGCCTCCTGGGGCCCTGTGATAGGCTCTGCACAGGTGCCTCCCTGCCTCCCCCTGTGCTCTGTGGTCCACCACTCCATGCTGTGGAGATCTCTGAGCCTGAGCCTGCCCTTCCTCTCTTCCTCTCTCATCTCTGGGTTTGGAGATGGGTTTGAGAGTATTTTCACCTGGATCACTGAGGGAGAAAAGGAATGGGGCCAGTGTGGTCCCTCCCACACAGGGGATATCCTCACCTCCCATGCCATCCTGCTCTCTCCTGCCCTGTGGTATTTATTCAGTGTCTCTGTGTGTTCCTTTCCGATTGCTGCTGGCTCAAATTACCACAGACTTGGTCTTGGTGGCTTAACATGACCTAATGCCAGGACATTACCTTACAGGTCTGGAGGTCTCACTGGACCACAATCGAGGTATGGCAAGGTGGGCTCCTCCTGGGAAGAATCCTTCTCAGGCCTTTCCCAGTTTCTGGAGGCTGCCTGCATTCCTTAGCTCAGGGCCCCACCCTCCATCCCCAAAGGCCATCACCCCACAGAGTCTTCCAGTCTCTCTTCCCTCCACCTCCCACTTTCCTCCAGTTCTGATCTTGAGCCCACCTGACAACCCAGGGCACTCTCCCATCTCAAGACCTGTGACTACATCTATGCAGCCCCTTTTGCCAGGAAAGGTCACCTATCCCCAATTCTGGGGGGATATTGTTCTGCTTGTCCCAGAAAGGACTCAAGATGGCCTGCATAACTGGATGGTCCTCTCCCAGAGGATCAGGAACATGTGGCCTACTCATCACAAATATTCTCAGTGCCTTTCCTGTTTTAAAATGGTTATTATATATATTTATATATACTTGTTTTGTTAGTGTATATTAATTGTACAAGATAAAAGATATACAGGTATATAATGTACTTTGAATGTATTAACCCATTACCTCTACTTCTGTGCCCCGCCCCCTGCTGGTTTCCTTCCTCTTCCAGACAGTTCCTTTTCTGTTTTCATATCTTTGTTTGTTTAATCTAGATTTCCCATATAAGAGAAAACATGTGGCATTTGTGTTTCTGATTCTGGCTTATTTTGCTTAACATGATGGTCTCCATTTTCCTGTAAACGCCACACTTTGTTCTTTTTGTGGCCAAACCACACTCCTCTGTACACCTAGCACGCTTTCTTTATCCATTCATGTGCTGGTGGGCACCTACGCTGCGTCCATGACGAGGCTATTGTGAACAGTGCTGCAATAAACACGGTATGCAGGTGGCTCCATTGTATTCAGTCCCTTTCTTAACACACAAAAAATGACAATTGAAACCACGTGTGCCGTGAAGTTGGCAGAAGGGCCCCCACCCCAGACTGTACTTCACAATCCCCGATCCTGGAGTGCCCCAGCCATGAGATGCTCCCCACAGTGTGCCTCGACGCCATGCTCCACACCTGCGGTGAGAGTTCGGCACAGCCAGGAGCATGGCCAGTCACAGAGCACTGGGGACCAGGGAAGGCTCTGGTGTCGGAAAGACTGGAGGTCAATCCTGCTTCCCACATACAACGGAGCTTAATACACATGACTTAATTTCCTTCCCATAAGTAATAGGGATAATACACAAAAACTTGCAAGGACTGGAAATCATATATGATAAAACATGGCACGAGATTGTCACTGCTATGCTTGGAAGTGATTTATCCCCTACGAGTTCATGTGATGGAAGCTTGGTCCTCAGGATGTGATGTGAACAGGTAGGTGGTGGAATCTTTAAGAGGGGGAGCCTAGTGGGAGGTCATTGGGGATTCTGTGAGACCCCAGTTAGTTCCTGTGAGAGAGTTGTTATGCAAGACCAGGACTGGTCCCTCCCTAGTCTCTGGCTTCCTGTGTCACCATGTGACCTCTCCTCCCCACATGCACTCCTACCATGTTGCAATTTGCTAAGATGAGATGTAGCCAGGGCTCTTGCCAGAGCAGGTGCCATGTTGTTTGGACTTTCTGCCTCCAAAACTGTGAGCTACACAAGCCTCTTCTCTCTATTAAGTATCTAGTCTCAGATATTTCATTACAGTAACAGAAAGCAGACTAATGTAGTCACTCAATAATCACAAATATTCTTCCTTCTATTGTTTAGTGGTAATTTGATGCTGGGAGTATTATGGTGTATCTCTCAACCTACTGCTAAAGTGAGGCGAATCAGGGACCAGGAAGCATTTCTAGGCACGTCTTTTCTGTGTGATCAATTAATCAGACGCTCATTTGTACTTGTTAACAGATGGTTGCCCACGCCTCCAACTTATGCTGAGGCAGGCTGCCGAGAAATGCTCCCAATACGTCTGTCTTAGGGTTGTTGGTTTCATTTTGTGTCCACGTATTTTGCCTTTGTAAAATAGATTCTTAATTTAAAGTGCTGGGTTTGCCATGAAAATAACTTTAAACAGCAAAACGTCAGGATCGGAAAACAATGAGAGGGGGTCTTGATTCCATCATTTGGAAGTTGGGAAGATTTTGTCAAGAGCTGACTCCCAGCCAAAAGAAGGGGACAGTGGCCAAAGCCACCATGGAGGAGAGAGAATGTCCTTCTCAAAGGTCACCTGGCAGCCCGGTGCCTCCCTGTGGGCCACTTCTGGAAGCACCCTCCTCCTGGCCATAACTGAAATGAGCAACTGGGATGTCTCACACAGATCAGATCCTTGGATGGATTTTAGCTCTGTGCAGACCTGGAGGCATGTCCCCTCACTTGAGCACTACGAGGGCTGTTGTGGAGACGAGTGTGGCCTGAGGATACAGAGCAAACTCACTT